CATCTCTGGATCTGCCCCATACTATTACAGTACATCCTACATTCACTGAAGTCCAGCTTCCAAGACATTTGCTTTTATCTACTTCCTAAACTCTCTCACATTCTCCGTTTGTACATTGCTGCAGAAATTTATTGCTATCGTAGTTGTAGGAGCCAAGAGAAAGTGCAGGTTAGAGGTACACATTTCCATCATGTGACATGCCTAAATATGGTCAGCATGACATCACATGACCACATATAGGAATATCATGACTATACAGTATATGGGCATACATTAGTTTTTTTTTGCCAAAGAAAATTTGATAATGTAGGCAAGAGCTTCATTGTTTTAGGAAACAAGAATGAATGAATGAATGAATAGATATGAACTACAAAGATGACTTTCTATGCATTTCTTTCTACCAAACAGAACAGCAAAAGAAATGGAATGGCCATTGTATTAGAAAAGGAGGATTATTGAAAACTGTGCTTGAAGGAAGATATGATGGTAAGCCAGGTAGATGAAGGAAATGAACAAAATTACTTGACAGGCTAAAAAATGGAAATAAAACTAAATACTTAACAGGGAAGAGTGGAAGAAGATGACTGCCATGGATCTGGCAACTTGCAGATGACAAGGTAGACAAGGTAGGTAGTAGGAGCCTATATAATCCAATGCTGAGTTTTCTGTTCTTGAACTCTGTATAAACTCTATGCCCAAATGTACAACACATGTCAGGGGCAAAGATAAGTCAATCGCATGTTAAAAAATAACATTACAAATATGTTGGAAGATTTAGAATGCATATTTTTTTTGAATATCTTTTTTTTTTTTTTTTTAAGTCTAAAGAACGATTGTGATACATAAACTATCCAAAATTCTGCCAGGGCGACTGTACACTAAATTATTTACTAGTTCACATTATTTTATTTTTATTAAATAATTTTAATAATTATTGTCCAATGAAAAAACTCCAAAACAGGGAAATCAATGTTTTGAAAATGCTCATTCTGTAGTTTTGTTAAAGTTGTCAACTTAACATCTATAAAATTATGTAGATTTGTTCATTTTGGTGAGTCATCAAGAAACTGAAGAACAAATATTGTTCTCAAATTCTACTAAAATTATTTTAGTATTAGTGTTCCTTTTTTTTTTCTGAAGTTGTTAATATTAATGGATGTCTGCATCTCAGTTAAAGTTGATTAACTTCCATTAACATTCATTACATCAAACACACAGAGACAGCTGTATTATGCACCTTATAAATCCATTGATTGGTTGATTGATTGATTGATTGATTGAGCAATTCAACTTTAATTTATAATTTGGTAATTTTTGGAGAGATTCTCATTGGACAAAAAAAATGTTTAATTACACCAATTACAAAACAACAAAAACAGTATATTTATAAATTACCATTACTGCCTTACAAATGTTTTTGACCAATTGCTCTTTATGGTCAAATAATTTATAATTTGGTGATTTTTGGGAAATTCTCATTGGACAAAAAACAGGTTTAATGACACTAAGGTGGTGGTCACATAAATGTCACCATTATATGACACAAAATTCACAATTATATAAATGTGACAATAACATAATGACAAAACTTATGGTCAAAACCTTTAAGCTCTGTCCAGACTATCAAATTCTATGTGACAATAAATTGTGACATTTCTAAATATGGTCACGATGACATCACATCATGACCATACATAGGCACATCATGACTATATATGGTCATACAAAAGTTTTTTGTCAAAAAAATTTGATAGACTATCAAATTTTATGTGACAAAAACATGTGACATGCCTAAATATGGTCTTGATGACATCACATCACGACCATATGTAGGCACATCATTACTATATATGGGCATATATCAGAAAATTTGATAGGGCATGGCTTTACAGAAGTAATATTTATATGTGCATTACCTCACATTTTATATTAAATATGCAAATGTATTATGAAAAAAAATTCCACAAAAGAAAATCATAAATACCTGAAAAAAATATTTAGAAGTATAGTATTATTATCAATGACAACAGCTAACAATATTCTGAACTATAGAGGGGGTACTTTGAAAAGTTTTTAACAATCCTATTTACAATGTTAAGTGAACATCTTTGATTTTGCTAGTAGTGAAATATACAGATATGCACATTCTGGTCAGACTCAAAGTTTGATTATAATCTGAATTAAAAAACAAACATGAGAAGGGTGAGAAGGGACTCAATTTGTTTGATCAGATTTGTTTGAAACAAACAAAAATTGTATCAGATAAAATCTTATGAAATACTCTTTTTGAGTCTGATAGTAGTGTATTTCCATGGTTTAATAATATGAGGCTGGCCATCCCCAAAATCAGCGTACTGAATTGTTAAACTGAGTAACTTGCATAAGAATGTGCAGTATTGTATGCTAATAGTATAAGAGAAGCTGTAATACTTTTACTCATAACATTGGCAATAGTGAATCAGTAAATGATCCATTATTTTAAAGCTTACAGTGCGAAGTATAAGAATATGTTACATTTTCAAGCCTCAAATACAATTGATCCACTAATTAACCATAATCATGTTTTAATTAATTATCAATTCCCTGTTATCTCAAAGAGGTATATAATATTATAATTACTTCAGCTTATGTAATTTAGCACTGATGCAATAACACTTCTTTTATCCATTTCCGTAAAACTTTGCTAACAGACATAGACTCGCAGTTTTATTCCAGAATACAACATGAAATTTTCAAACAAAAAAGAAAATCAAATAAACATATACTACACACAAATCCATCAAGCTTATCTATAAATAGTTTCAGGTAAAGAATTCACATCATCCGATTTATATTATTTGTTGAATAATAGCATCCCTGTCACGCAACCCCTAAGCTTAATAGTAAGTGAATCTAAGGATAGGATTACAGTATTCTAGTATAATTCTATACACATTGTTATGAAGGATATTAAAGAAAATATGGTTAGACGGTATTGGAGTGACGTTACAAGGCTTTATTTAGGGATGTTAAAGGATATGCTCTTTTTAGTGCTAAAAATCACCAGGGATACAATGTGATATTATCAAATTAATGGGTCAGACAACATAGTGTTTACTCAGACTGTCTGAAGGAAGAAATGTTTGATTTATAAGATCTCATAAACAAATGAAAAGCAAGACACAGAGCCAAGAAGTACACCGAGTCAAAAGTTATATCTGGAATATCCCTCCAAATCCTAACACAGAAATTATTTTCAGAGTCAGGCTTAGTTGAAATGCTTGCCTTAAAATCTCAAGGGGGAGCATGCCCTGTTCAAATGAAGGGTTAAAGCACCCCGTGTAACTCCCTCTCACTAAAACAATAACTGAAAAAAATATTGAATTTGAATTTATATTTTAATTCATAGTAAAAAAAATTACTATAAGTAAGCAAGCACATATTGATATTAATTATTATACTTAGATAAACTTATAGAAGCAGGTAAAAATCTAATTATCTAGTATTTATGGTTTTAATTCTCCTGCTAAGAATGACAAATCAAAATGTAAAGCTATTTATTTCTTCCCCAATGAACTATTCTGAGGTCTACCGCAATCTTAACCTCCATAATCGTGATTTCCCGTTTCACAAATATACATTTTTAATCAGTAATATTAACAATAGACTGTTCAGACATTGTTGCGTGTTATCTCATTAAAGTTGCTGTCACTATGTTTTTACGGAATATTTTTTGCGAGTCCATCGATTCCAGCACTCCATCTTGCGATTGGTTATATTTCAGTGTGTTTTACAGTGATAGCTAGGAGTGTGTGATGATTGGTGGAACGGTATACGCGAAAAATATGGGAAAAAACATGTGTAACTGTCCCTTTAAGCCACTTTAGTAGAAGGTGTGTTGCCAATCAGGAAGGAGTCAAATCCCTGTTTATAACTATTAATTTCTGTTTCAGAACTAAAAACAATGCCAGGTAAATTAAACAAAATTAAACTTCAATATATCAACACTAAATCCTTCCTGTTAATGACAGGTGTGGATTGTTTTCTTAAAAAAAAACAAAAAAAAAAACCAAAAGTAAAGAAAACAAATATAAACTCAAATGTTATTTTTGCAAATTATATTGGTGAATTATTATTATTATGTGTTAATTTTCAATCACTGTAAAAATAATAAATAGTCCCTAGACAATTAATAAAGAGACCCTGTGCAATTAATTTAAAAAGTCACTAGGCAATTAATTAAAAGACCCTTGGAAATTAATGGAGACCCTGTGCCATTAATTAAAAGTCCCTGGGCAATTAATTAAGAGTCCCTGGCTAATTAATTAAGAAGTCCCTGGATGATTGATGTGACAGGTCATCAATATGTTTTATTAATCAACATTTCCTAAATTTCAGGATAGCTGTTAGAAAGGCCAGGCTTGCAAAAGTTAATACAACCCAACCAATCACAGAATGTACAGATATGGATGTTTTATTACACAGGTAATATATACAATAAACATAAGCCAACATTTAATTATATCACAGACCTTAATGAAATAGCATCAATACAACTAACACATGTTTAAACTGCGATAAAAGCATTATTATAATAGTGTTTTTTTTACCAATTCATTTATTGTTTAACTTATAAACAATCGGTAAAATTAACAAGCCGAGTTGTTAATGACTTCACTAATAAAAGGATAGGGTAAGGATAATTGCATATAATTACAATTTTTCTGCAATATCAAATAATGTGCAAAAATATATATTTAAATTAAAAATAACCCAATGGACAGAAATAAAAATTATTGAAAAGCAAAACATTGAATTAACTTAAGCCTCAAGAAGAGATATGGAGAATATTGACAAATAATATTATTAATATATCATAGAGCACCTATGCACTTTTACTTATATAGCCCAAAAATCAATACAGTTATTGTAATGACCAACATAATAACAGGAGGCATAGGGCTAAGCCCCTGAAAGTGTTAATTATAAAGTTATTTAGCATTTACAATCAATTAATCAATCAATTATGAATTCTAGAAAAAAAAAAGAAAATAAGAAAATAGACACAGAAAAATACTAGCCCTAAAAAGATTTATTTAATATAAGTTATATATATTTTGCTTCAGAACAGGATAAACTATAAGCCTTAAAGGCTTTAGAAAAGCATTATGCCTAGAAAATTATTAAGTCTAAAAGGGGATAAAAATTAAGTCTGAATTACTTGGCAAAAAAAAAAAAAAAATTGAATATCACAAAAAACAAGTTGTGTTTTCATTTCAGTTTAAAAATTACTAAAACTCTAACCATGGAGCTAACAGACATCATTTAGAGCCCTGTTCACATGTGACAAGAACATGTGACATGCCTAAATATGGTCAAGATGACATCACATCATGACAATATATAGTCTGAACAGGGGCATAAGATGTTTACGAAAGCTTCATGTGGTGCAGCCGAGTTTACACTTGCCATTAAAAATTGACGTCAATAATTCAATTTCTTAATTCTCAAGCACAGTAAACACTATAAGATTAAAAAATTGTAGCTGATGTTCAGACACTTCAGTATGTAAACTTTAAAATGAGTGGTCATTCACTGAAATTGGAAATTTCAAGCCTTAGTTTTAGTCTTCTTTAGCAAAATGGAATTAACTACAAAAAAGACATGAAATAACTGCTTTGTTAACATTTCTTAAATTACGAAATTTGGGAAAATTAAACATTAAACTGTTAATAATAATATGAATTTTGAACAGGAAATAGATGACTGTGGCGATACTTACAATAATAATAATAAATGCTTTTCATATCAAAGTATTTTCATACAGTATTAACCATAAATTTTTGAGTCATCAAATTTGCCTTTGTTTATTTAGTATATTATGTGCTAAAATATATTTTGTATTATATTCGTATATAGATCGAAATTTTGTTGGAAAAAAAATCATATTGAATTTAAATAACCATGATTTATACTGCAAAATTGCATATGTAATCCTATTTTTTTTTAACCATTAAAATTTATCTCTCAGCCCATGTCCCACAACAAGTCTTTCAAATTGTGGTTATTTATTCTACTCATTCAAAAAGGTCAAAGTTCATGTATTTATAAAGCGCTAAGTACAAGGGTTTATATGTGCTTAAAACAAGTGAACAGATGACCTATTGAGAGCTATTAATGATATGGATAGTGTATTTCATGAAAGGATGCATTTATATCATGAAAGCCAATGCAAACATGATTGACCTGTCATCAGTCATGCTTTCTTAACATACATCTGAAAGTACACATACAATAAAAGCCAATGTCTATGTAGTGGCCTGAGGGGTTAGTCGTCTAAGCTTTTTGTACAATTGTTATATACGTCATATATTACTGATGCAAACATCAAAGGCAGTTTGTCAAACTTATCAATAATTCATCCTGCTTTAGAGTACTCCAATGTTTTTAGCATTCCATCTGTTCACACTATCAAGTTTTATGTGTTTTACACTTGTCATTTGTCACTTAGAATAGTGCAATATTCTGAATATTCTATTAAGCTCTGTTCACACTCTCAAATTTTAATTGACAAATACTTGTGATTTGTCACTTAGAATATTGCAATGTTCTGAATATTCTATCGAGCTCCAGTCACATCAACAAGTTATATGTGACAAATACCTGTGATATGTCACTAATAGAACATTGCAATGTTCTCTGTTCACACTAAGTTTTATGTGACAAATAGAAAACTGCAATGTCACTTAGAATATTGCAATGTTCTGAATATTCAATTAGTTTCGTTTACACTACCAAGTTTTGTGACAAATACTTGTGATTTGTCACTTAAAATATATTGCAATGTTCTGAATATTCTATTAAGTTTCGTTCACACTACAAATTTTTATGTGACAAATACCTTTGATGTGCATATATATTGGTGCTATATGTCCATGTAGGGGTAAAATGCACATTTAAAAAAAAATGAAACTTGATAGCGAGGGCAGAGCTCCATATAAAAAGAAAAAAAATGGGTTAAGTAATGAGCATCACAATGTTTACAGAAGGTTAGGCATCCTCTTAATCCTGATAAATTTTTCAGCTTATACAGTAGATATAATTCAGGTGTTTAAAGGGTATTGATCATAGTAAAGTTGGTAAGTTGTTTATGTCAATTTTGATCTTGCTAACTCTTGGTTTACTTATACAAGCTTAAGTGTCATTTCAGCAGTCAAGAAAATAATTCTATAAAGATCTATTTTAAATAGTTTGTTCACTGCCCGAAGAAACAGTTACTGCCTCTACAATAAAACCCATTCAAGCGTATCTTTGATTATTATTATTATTAGCCTTGAATGTCTATGTTATCAAAGAGCAGCTTATATCCTAACCACCTCAGTAAAAAAATAACATAAAATTCTATGAGCATATTTAACATAGGTATGTCCAGGTACCAAATTGGAACTAATATGTGAAAGCAGTATTACATTTAACAGGGACCCAACGCAACCTTGACAAAACCATACATCAATACACAGTTGAGCCACAACAAAATTTTATATTATACGAGTAAGCAATTATATAATATAGTTTTGTAGTAACTCTCTATTGGGCAGGATCTGAAGATTTGAAAATCTGTAGCAGAATATAGTTAACTTTTATGCTTTCTTCCATTCACCCAATCGCATCCTTCTGGAAGACACTAACAAAACATACTAGCCCCGGATGTCAGGGGTCATTCCAGTGACCTCCGACGTACTGGAAAGACATCACATCAACATTACTCGCCTTGAGGAGTAGTTTTATTTCTCAGGGATCTCTATACTTTTTTTACAATTTACACAAATACATTTACACAATGCTGTAATGATTCTACACCAGCCTGCTAGTGACATCATCCAACACACAGCACTTGTAAACCTGTAGAGGGCGGTAGACCAACCTCAGCCAGCAACCAGGGCCAGCCTAGAAAAAAAACTTCAAACACACCAACTACGGTAGGTATAACCTTGAATCAGTGACGCTTCATATGAAGCGCGAGGTGGTCTGATCTGGAAAACGCCCTCTCGCATTGCACGCACTTGAACGGTTTGTCGCCTGTGTGTTTGCGGTAGTGCCGTGTGAGTTCGTCGGAGCGTGCGAAACACCAGTGGCAGCCATTCCATGTACACTTGTACGGTTTCTCGCCTATAAAATAAAAAATTGCTTAAAATTTAATTGCTTAGAATCAAATTGCTTAGAATTAAATTGCTTAAAATTAAATTGCTTAAAAAATAAATGGTTCTTTCAGGATTTGTTTATTGATTATAAATAATCATCTCCTATATTCAACTTGAGACTCATTCTGTAAACTGTGAGTCACTCACTGTTATGCAATTATGCAATTATGTAAAACATGTGTGAGATGAATTGGTTTGTATATCTGAAAACAGTGGTGGATCCTGAGGGTGGCAAATGAGCACTATCTTCTCTACCCTTCCCCAGCAGCAAGCAAAAAAATAAGATTAGAATCTAAATTGTCCAAACCTTTGGAAAATATAGCTGGACTCCACGATATTTTTTGTAGATGTTTTTGTTTTATT